CTGTAGAGGTGACTGCCCTCAGCTTGCCTCAGCTGGTAGCTATCAGAGTGAGAAGAACCTGTCAGGTAAGGTGTTTAAGTAAACCTAACCCACGCATTACTGAAGGAAAGAAGAGAGATACATAAGCAGATGGGGTAGATGGAGGGCTCTGTAACCTTCAGGTTACAAGCAGCTGGCAACAGTGGCCTGTGGAGCCAGTGCTGGGGAGGAACCCTGCAGGGTGAGACGTCCCTCCTACACCTTTCTTGTGTCTGAAGGCAGGGTCCAGTGACTCCTTTCCACTGTGAGGCCCATGCTCTTGTCTTGATTTGCTTCCAGGCTGCCCCCCTTTGATCTTGCCATTTCTGAATTCCTTCTCTCTGTCCAACACTGGAATTTTTTATTTTTTTTTCCCCCCACAATCACCCAACAGCCCACAGTCCCGTGTTCCCATCAGCTCGTATTAATGATTTTCACTCTTTTCCAACCTACTGGGGTGGTTTTTTTTGTACAGATGGACTATTTTTATGTTTTGGTTATATTTCTGTTTCACTCTGCTCTTTCATCTGCTTTCACATTGTAGGGTCAGTTGTGACAGTCCTCGGCACTGGGTCACCATTTGCTTTCCATTCATTAGTCAGTCACTGCAGGAACCTCGTGAAGCATTGGATAGTCATGCACACTGTTCCCTAGTACAGATGAATGCCTTCTACAGTAACTGCTAAGACACACACACAGGGTTGAACTGTGAGTCATCTCATGATCCTCTTCAGTTCACATCATCTATCCCTTTCTCCATGCCCTGTCTTCGCACTTCTGTGCTTGTCACTGAAACTGCAGCTGCTGAAGCTCTTCATCAAGTCAAGTTCTCCTGTGCTTCTTGGCCCATCAGCTGCCTTTGATGCCTTTAGCAGTGTCAAAAAAACCCCGCCTAATTGTTTTTTTATGTCATTTGAATATTTTCTTCTCCCTGAGATTTCTTTTATGGATTTTGTATGTTGCATTCCTTTATTTCTGCTATACTTTAGCTCAGGATGCCTTCATCCAAAACCAGAAATTCAGCTGATTTTTGTTTGCAGGTGACTCACGAGTCTGTATCTGCACATCACACCTGTCATTTCCTGCCCCACATGAAAGGGCATGCGTATTTCCCTGATGTATCGAAAACACATCCCTTCATCTTTTGTCCCCATTTTCTTTTTCCTGACTTGTGTCAATAATTCAGGCACTATCTTTGAGTTGGAATTTTTCCTACTCGTGTGTTTTAACTTGCTGATTATTTCTCTGTAGCTGCTCTCTAGTGCAGTGTTTCTGGTTTATGCATCCAGCTCAAATGCTCCTTTGGGCTCCCAGCGTCCAGTTCTCTGGTTTGTCTTAGTTCTTCTACCCATCCAGGAAGTTGCTACCTACATCGCTTACCCACTGCTCTGTCCGGCTGTCGTTATGCTCACTGGCAATTGCAACTGGCCTCTGATACATACGCATACACAAATATATATATATTGTCTGTGAGTGTCTGCATGTCAATACATACATTGCTCTTGCATTCATTCCTTTGGTACTGAAGTGTTGATATTCGATAGGTGTTCAGATTAACCCAGTCTGCTAGCCCACAAGGCAAGGGTGTTACAAAGTCAGTTGAGTGCCAAATTGGATTTAAACTGTTGTTTTATGTAAGAGGTACAATAACTGTGGAATGAACAACTATTGATACCCATACTATCAGCTTATCTCTTAGTTGTCACCAGTGATATGTAAAGCTGTAGCACTTCTTAAAACATTTGAAAGATGGTAATTGCCCACAGTGTTTGTTATTCCTTTACTGTCAGAATTTTTTTCACTACAAAAACTGTGGATAAACTGTGTGTGCTACAGATGTTAATGGATATAGCATGTCTGACTTTTAAAAATTAGACTGACTTCATTTCTGTGTATCTAAATAGAAGTAATTATGTTAAACTGAAAACTGGAAAATTTTAGTCTGATAAATATCTCTTGGCTTGTCCTACAACATTGTGTGGGTTACTGTGACATCTCTCTCTTGCGCTGCTTTCACTTACAGTACAGAAAATCAATCTCAGTCATGCTGTGGATTGCGAGTGCTCCATACTGATTGAAATTTTGGATGTTGTTTGTCAGAAATCAGCAGAAATCCCTTTAGATTGAGAAAGCTATAGCTTAAATATTGCACTTTTCCTAAGTGGTTAGCTTTCTCAGACTGAGCTGTTAAAATAATCCTGTTTTTATTAAAAAAGTACTGGGTACTGACCGGTACTGTAAGAGACGGTTTTAAAGAAAATAACTCAATGATAATACCTTGCATGAGTCATTAATCATGAGTCATGATCAGCAGGCAGCAATGTCCAATTTGTTTTCTAATCCCACACTTGCTGATGCTCTTTATTACCATAGTGATAATATTAAAGAGCTGTTAATGCATATAACCACGCAGCTGAAAATGACAGACTTTTTCTGGTGGAATAAAATTTCCATATCTTAAGTCTGCTTTGCTCTGTACGTTTTTTGACATGTGAAATCGAGGTAGTATAAAAGTGATCAAACAAGTATAATTGGGCAGAGAGTTAGGTTAACAGAACAGACTTTTCTTTGCTTTCAAGCCAATCATCGTGGCTTCATAGAGAATTAAATCTAGTCTATCTTCTTATGAGGATTGGGGAGGCTTTGTATTCATTAAAATTGGGAGCTAATTGTTCGAGCTACACTTTGCAGTGAAAGCCTGCACTATCCGTGTTTTTAATGTTTGTTCTCTCCTGAGCAAAAACTAGTAGCTGGATGGAAAGTTTTATTGCATGAATGTGTGTTGGGGAATGACTACTGAAGTTTTAGAGAAAATGGAAGGCTGTTTCTCTTCTGAGAGTCTGAATATAAAAAGAATCATTTAGCTGAGAAATGAGCTTTGGAAACCTGTTATCACTGTTAAACACAATTTTATCAAGAGAGGCCATTTTAAAAGCTCTGAAAGGTGATGGCTGAAATATTGCAGACAATATTAGAATGTGCATAGATGGAGAGTGTTGGGGTGCAGCAGCAGTTGCCTGATATTTATGAAGTAATGAATTTTGTATTCAATCAGATTTTAAGTTGATTAAATTTTCATTAGTTTTGCTAGTTTATTCTTGAGCATAGAAAAGTTGATCATGACAGATTAAAACCTTGAATTTAGTAAGGAACTCAGGAGACCCTTTGAAGCATCTCACCAGATGTTAAAAAATGATCCCTTTACGTATTCCAGTGAACATGACCTTATAATGCATAGATTCCTATAGGTCTTACTTGTTTCCTTGTGTTGAACTAGTGAGATGGTGTATTGGTGGATGCAATGTGGCAGGACAGGTATGAATCTGCTGGCATAGGTGGCTGTCTTTGAAATTGCCTGGTACGGTGCATACTCCTCCGCATGCCGTAATGTGGTTGTTGTGCAGACGACTCCTCTGTTTCCATGAGGATTATACCTGACCCAACAGAAGCGTTTTCCGCTTTAGTGTGGGATGGTGCAGCTAGAGACAAGATAAATGTTCTCCTGACAGGATTGTTACTTCTTTCATTAGAAACTAACTGTGTGTGTGTGTTTTAATGCATGTTTGCTTGTTCTTGTGTATATAATAAATGTTTTTAAAATTTTGAGTCTGCAAACTGCAAGATGCCCTGAAGACAGCATAAAATATAGCTGTCACCAAATTCTGTCTCAGTGAATATGTTTGTGTTCTGGGTTTATCCTAGAGAAACTTTCCAGGAGCTTCTTACCAATTTTGAAAGCCTCTTGTTTCTGCCAAATATGATTAAGGAACAAAGATAGTCTTTTCCCAGTTCTCAAAAAAATTAGCGTCTAGGGGTTGGGGCAAAGCTACGACTAGTCTAGCAAGTTGCAAGATTTAAATATAGCAAACCTTTTTCTGTGTCCTGTGGTGGTTCTTTTGATTCCCACTCTGAGTGGCTTCTAAGGTGACTTGTTTTTTTCAGATGACCTGTCTCCAGTTCAGGCTTTACCCAGTTTCTTTCAAATCACTTGTCAGCTACTTTCTTCAGTAGAACCTTTTCCAAAGTAAATAAAATAAGGCAAAGCCACAGATCAAGAGTAATATTTGATAATTACTTCCTTGTTATTTCCTGGTATACATGCGTACATTGTAGAGTGGAAATAGTGGAGGAAAAGAACATGGATGTACTTGTACGGAGAAATCGACTACCAATGTTACGTAGCTGTATAAAAGCTGAGTGTAATGTTCTGTGTATAATATTGTTGTACACGTTTCCTTCTTCAGGGTACTGCACAGGTTCTGGTGTTCCATGTCCAAGTGAGATCAATTCAAAGTGGAACAAGAGCTACTGGAATGACTGGGAAAAACATGCAGCTACCAGAGGCTAGGAAGTCTAACTAGCATGAAGGTGGAATGTGATAAATACGTTAATGGAATTAGGTGACAAGGAAAAGACCTTGATATAGGAATGGTCTTTGGTGCTCAATTTTTGTGTTCCTCGGGTATTTCTCTCAGAAGGGTCTTGCGATGTAATCATTGCTTACAGGAAAGCATGACACCCAGATCCTGAAAACTAGGGGCTTTGATAGGATTTCTCCTCCACCACAGGTGAGGAGAGGGGGATTGTGTGTTTCTTTTGGTGGAAGGGGGAGAATTTGGAAGATTAGTACAGAGTAAGTTGGTCTAATGGAATATGTAAGCGTCTTATAACAGTTCTTGAACCTCTTTGATGTTCCGCACCCAAATACTTTTGGGTAATTTTTAGAAGAAAATACTTTAAAGGATGCTAATTTCTGTCTCAACTTCTACAAGCACATCATAAAACTCCTTCTATTAAATTTGTGGGAGTAGGTTCAAACTAAGAGTTTTGCAAATACAGTCTGCAGTGATTTCTGTAGACTTTTGTGATTGCATCACCTTTATGTTAGTTTCTGCTGTCCTGCTTCTTTCTCTTTCAGAAGACTGAGGTGGATCTCAAAGGGAATTTCCTGATTTTTCTTTTCCCCCGTCTGATTATTTCCAGAAATGGCCATTTCCCTGTGGAAGAACTTACTTCAGACTACAAAGAGAAGGATACTACAACAGAGAAGGGTGTCACTGTACAATGGTGCTCATGGTTATGAGGAAGAATTGATAAAGAAGAAACTTCAGCAGTTTGCTGGTGGATCCATCAACCTCTCCAAAGAAGACAATGGCGTTGCAATACTTACTTTGAACAACCCGAAGCTAATGAATGCCTTTACAGGTATTAATTAGTTGATGGGGTTGTGGGTTTGTTGTTGTTTTTTTTCTCCTTCAGTTACTCATTTTAGCGTTTTGCATAAACAGTATGAAAATCTATGCCTTATGGTTCCCTAGCTAAAAGAAGAAATGTTTAAGTTTTATTCAGGTGTGCAGCAATTGCCCACTGTTCTGCACAGTAGGTTTGCGATAAATGTCGTAAGAATATAAGGAATCCTCCATGAGACAGGGACTGTAAGGCAGAACATGCCTCTCCCCATTTTTTTTTCAGTCAGCACAGTTCTGCTACTGTGCTCTTTCTTGTATCTCATTTTGTCTCTACTGCTCTGGAAACACGTAGGGTATTTTTGTGGGGGTGGGATGATGCCATCTTTGTTTTGTAGGTGGTGTAGAAAGGGTGAGTTTATTTCTTTACCTAAAGCCTTCCCTGTAACTTAAGCTTCTGCAATTTAGTCTTTACCAGTCACTCAAACTGGCTTTCATTTCTTCTTCATTTGCCTTATGTCTTAAGTACCAATGACAGGTTAATTAAAGATCAGATGAGCTGGGTATTCTCAGCTGTTGGAGATCAAGGATCTATTTAATATGTTTTTATACCTGACAATACTTAGCTATCAAAACCAAGTGCCCTATTTTATTAATCTTGTATTATGAGAGGCTTTTGATCTCCAAGATAGGTATTTTTGCTGTCTCTCCTTTAACTGTCTAGAATATTCCAGTTTATGCCGTTCTCTTCAGACATAAGTGGCACAGGTTCAGGGTCTGCGTCTGCCTGAGCTTGAGCTGTGCATAAGCCTTTACGCTAAGAATGCCTTTATGTCTTAATATTTTGAAATGGATACATTTGTATCATCTTGTTAATTTCTTTTTCGCTGTTCTGTTTTCCTGCCCAGTTCTCCCTGTTCCTTTGCTGTCAGCAAATATGTTTGCAACCCACTAGCAAAGCATAGAGCTGGTTACATGGAGAGTGTCAATCTACTCCTTCCACTAATGATTGTTAGCTAAAAGGAAGAGAACCTGACAGAATAACAGAGTTAGTGGTAATGCACCTGGATGTCTCTGCAGTTTCTCTTTGGTTTCCCCTTAAAAGCTCGTGTAGAAAATCATTACGGAACTGGAGAAGTTGTAGCTAAAAGATGTTAGCATGGAGATTGTTCTTCTGAATGCCTCCCTTTCAGCATAGGTGTGATTATACAATCGTAATTATATTGTTGTTTTCTCTTTTCCTACACATTGATTTTTATTTTTGACTCAAAACAGAGCTGTGCAATGTACAGCTTGTAGACTGTGGGTTCTTAGCTTATTTGTTGTGGAAGTTGAAAGGGGCGTGAGAAATGAAATGTAATAGTAAAAGGAGAAAGGACAGATAAAGCCCGGTCTGTTAAGGAGATCAGGTGTAATACAAGTCAAATTGCTTAAAATAGACTTTTATAGAAACTTACAAGTATGTTGTCTGTTTTCTGGGTGCTTGGCAGAAGGGGCTCAGAACTGATTTGTTGAAGTGCTGAGCAGTTGCAGCTGCTCTTTAGACCGCTGGTAGCTGTGCTTTGACTATATGAAGTGCTATATAACATTAATGTACTGAAATCGTATCACACATCTCAAGTTGAGCACCCAAAATTAGCAGATTATTTTCTCTCAGGCTCAGTTAGTGCTCTGTAAAATAGTATCTTCTCTCCTTATAGGACTGCTGTGAATATAAATTATTAGTGTATGTGAATTAGATGCTCTAGTAGCAAAGAGGGACTAGAAAAGCCCATGAGGAAATTAATAGTTCTGTCTTTGTTGCGCACCCTGATTAGCATATAGCAAATGAGCCATAGGATCAGGCAGTTCTGTTTTACAGTAGTGTGTAGAGTCTTATAGAGAGCAGTACTCCATTTTGCTAGGTAGTAGTCACAAAAATTTGCTCTGGAAGTTCGAGAAATTACTGCTTTCTGCTGTGCACTTCTGCCTGCCAGAGCCTTTTGTTGTTACAGGAGGGAAGAGTAAAAGCAAAATCATGCTGTCCCCTTGGCTGCTGCAGTGGATGGTATGGCATATTAATTTATACTGCTTTTCATTTCATTTTAACATTACTGTTTGTAAACTGTAGTTGCTGAGGAACTAGCAAGCACTTGAGCCTTTTCCTTTTGTTGTGTATCAAGTAATACCCTTCAGTAGAAGTATAAAGAGGGATGGGATGCACAGCCCCTAAATTGTCCTGGTAAGACCTGGTTGACTTCATCAGCCAGAACCTGTAGATACTCCCCCTCAAATAAATTCTGCCTCAGAACTTCTGGATAGTGGCAGATGTGAATTTAGAAATACACATACACTTCCTTTAGAAAGCTGCAAAACACCATTAAATTGTTGAGAGAAATCCTATTTGCCAGGCATTTACTTTACACAGCAGCTTTTTATCTCAAAGGAATTATGTTTATTCTAAGCTTGAGCAACTCACGGAACGAAAAGCAGAACAAAATTGTTAGCAAATTGCTAATGGGCAATGTGGAGGTTGTTATGCCTTTTTTCTCTTCTTAATTGGAATCTGATAGCCACCTGTTTGAAATGGTCTCTTTGGAAACAAATGCTAATAATGTCAGTTTAAGCCTGGTGGAACCAATTTCAGCAGCCCAACCTCTTGCTGAACTAAGGTTGAGCTTAATTTAAAAGAGAAGGAAGCCAGCCTGCAGGAATTAGATAATAATAGTGATAACTTTATTTTCTAGAGTTGACTTTGAAGCATTTATTCTCAGATTATAATTAAGATGCAAACAGATTATTATTGCAAGTGGATTTAGTTCTGTGAAGAGAACAGACCTACTGGTAACAAATACTGAAGGACCAAGACTGGCAGAATGAGGATTTGCTTTAGTATTGTGGCCTCATCATTATATCAAACATCATGGACTAGGTATGTTGGTAAAATGATCAGCATTGTCAGTAATGGAAGGGATCATCTGCCAGGAGGGAGGGACAGGCTTTAGCCGGTGTGTCTTGTCCCCTGCTGTTGCATATAACTGGCTCATATGGTTCCTTTTTGTAAACTACATTTTTCAGTTAAGTAGGTATTTGGCTTGTAATACTCTGTGGAAAGACTCTTCCAATACCTTGCTGCTTTGATTATTAAAAGCACCACAAATGGTTGTGCTGTATCTTGACTATGGCAAAGCTTGGATGCCAGTCCAAGCACCCTTTTTGTAAGAAAACTTGGGAAATGTGCAAAAAGTGACATCCATGGGTTTGATGCACACCTATTTAAATAACAGCATTTGCAGAAAAGTTATTGTTGAGTGTACTGTCAGGCTGGGAAAACATTTCAGTAAAGACCCACAAAAATCTCATTGACGCCTAGTTCTGCTCCGTATTTTCATTCATGGCTTGGACGATGGAATAGAAGGAGAACTGCTGAAATTGTCAGATGAACACAAATTGGGAGACTGTGGAAGAAAATTATTATCTGGAGCAGAGGAGTGGAATTCAAAGTGTTCTTGATTAGCTGCTACAAAAAGCTCAAGATCAGCAAGGTTAAACTCAATGAAAGCAAATGTAATGTGCAACACAAAAAAAGCATGTCCAAATTATAAAACCAGAAAGGAACCAGTAAAAGTGCTGGGATTTGTTAGAGGATTGTAGTCTGGACCTGACAATGGAAAAAACCCAACCCAATACGTAATGTCCACTTAATTATTGCCCTCCTTGGGAATGTTGTCAAAATGTGCTATTTCAGTGGCTGAGACCAAGCTTAAGGTGGAAGTGCTTGACTTAGAATTCAATCTTGACCTGGTGCTGGGAAGCTTACTTTGTAAGGAACTGCAAGGAAAACAAACAGGAAGGAAAAGAAATGTATCTCCCACGTGAGGATGGCTGATAACAGGCAATTTCAGAAGAGAATGAGTTCTGCGCATGCAGGCGTAGGGTCAAGAAACCAACACTCTTGGCAGAAAAGGAAAGAGCCATTGAGGGTGTTGATCTAAAGCACATTTCTATCTGAAGAAGGTAGGCCAGTCCATCTAACTTCTTGTCAAAGGAGTGTAAAGCCGAGAGTGTCATCAACCTGTATGTAGTCTGCTTTCTGCAGTTAGTTTCTGTAAATGTTTTCTCTTAAGAATATAACTGAATGAGAGTCATAGGCATTCAGGGAGGAGGAGCTTTAAGTTAATGCTGGGTAAGCTCAGTTGATGTGGAAGATGCTGCAGTCTAGGACGAACTCTAGAAACAGGAGTTTGTAGATTTCCACGTCACGAAGAGTATTTGAGCAAACATACGAGAATATTATGTTTAAGCTAGAAATAAAAAGCTAGTACTGTAAAATCCATATATTTGGAGCCTAGCATATATTTTGTAAAGACAGCCTTTCTAGAAAGGTACCAGGGAGGAAATCAAGGATGTTTTAGAAAGATTTTTTTCTTCTTGGGCTTTTAAAAGATAAAAGACACCTTGCACCTATTTTCAAATATATCTTTATTTTCTTTTGCATGGATACTTCTAAATGTCTTTGGCCTCCAACATAGTTTGGTCTTTAGCTTTTTATACAAACCTTTATTGACATTGACTCGTTGTACAATGAGGCCACCTTGCACATTATTCTTTTCTGTACTCTGCAGGTTCTTTGGGCAGGGTGAAATGGTGGTAAGATCAAGATGACTAGATGGACAGATTTGGATCGCTACATTTAAGTCTGTGTGTTGTGAATGTACGCAATTGCAAACAAGAATAAATCAGTAGAGTTTATGCTTGCCTCCTTGCACTATTTTTTTTTTTTTTGAGTGTAACACATATCCTTTATGCAGAATATCCTTCAGTATTCCAGGAAGTGCATCTTTGAGGAAAAAATGCTTGTATGAAAGGTTCAAAGTGACGCTTTCTCTTTTTTTTTTGTTTAAGCCCATCACTTACTAACAATAACTTGGGTTTGGTGGTGAAAAATGTAAATGAAAAATGTTAAAAATTTTACTTCTCCCGTCTTGTGACAGGTTCTATGATGCTAGAACTCCAGGAGAGGGTAACTGAACTGGAAAACTGGAAGGATGGCAAAGGCCTTATCATCTATGGTGCAGGAAACACCTTTTGCTCAGGATCTGATTTGAATGCTGTCAAAGCAATATCCAACTCCCAGGCAAGTAGTGATACAAATAAAGTTTTTGGCAAAAAAAGAGCATTCTGATATTCTGATATACTTTTCAGACAGAGGTGTTGCACTCTGCTTCTGCTGCAGTTTTACATGCAAGTCACAGAGTGGAGCTTTTAATGGTTGTAAAACTGCTGGCAGCCCCTCTAAGCCATGGCTTAAGTGTTATTGTAATTGATTCATAACTCTGAATTCCTACATTAACATATTCTTTTTAGCCTTTTCTTTTAAAAATGTCATTTCAGTTTCTTAGAGCAATATATGGTGAATTTACATGTCAAATAAGCTGTGCTTCAGTAGTTTGACCTTTAGAAACAGATACAAGTAATCATTTCTCATGTATTCTAAAATAAAAAACAAATTTAAATAGCATGGCCGCTATTACAGAAAGGTTTCAATTTTGTCAAAACTCTGCTTGGACCTTCATAAAATGGAAGGACAGATGCAATTCTTGTGCAGTAGAGTTTTGGCATTGAGTTTGTAGTTCAGTCAGGTGAGTCTTGTGTGTAACTATAGGGTTGAAGAGGTCAGGGTTTAATAGCAGTTTTTCTCTCATGCCACCCGTCTTGGCAACCTACACATGTGCTGCAATTCTTTTTATGGGTTAAATGTGTGGTTCTTGGCGTGTGTGAAATAGGACTTTGTCAACTGCAGGGGAGGAGGGTGTTCCTGGGCTGCTCTTACATCCCGGTTTGCAACTGTGGTGACTGGTATCCTGGTGCTTTTTTGTAGACACTTCAAGTTTCAGGATTTAACCACACAAATTAAACATTTAATTGAACATTCCTTTAAGAACACCAACTCAAAAACTGATTAATCTGGTATTTGTCTGTAGTGATGATTTATTTCTGTCAATGAAACTAAATATCATAAAAACCACATTTGAAATATTTCTGGCCTGATAAAATAAATAGGATGGTCCGGTTTTCAAAAGGTATAGGAGGCTTTGTTTTCTTTGTGAAACACCGTGAGAGGTATGCTTTTCTTAATATAGAGATACCATGCTTTATAGATATAAATGGTTTTTTGGGAGTTTTCATTTGGACGCTTTATAAGCACTGGTCATTTTAAAAACATAGATGTAACTGTGATTTTTGGTTTTGTGGGGTTTTTTTAATTGATTTTTTTTATCTGAAATTTTCATCTTATTTTAGCATTATAGCAACAGAAAAGGAGCTGAAACCAAGCATGGGCCAATTCTTTTCTCATCTGCAGTCTAGGCTTGCTTTCAGAGTTCTGCATTCGGTAATTCTCAGTGATTCGGCTTCCATACTCTCTTTGACATTTAGTATTCTGTCCTTATGTTTATACAAATTACTTGGAGCCACTGCAGTGGCAGAAGGGGCTCTTATAAGGTCACCAGAAATGCTCCAAGAATAGTTAAACATGGGTGCTTTCTATTTCCTTGGGGGAGTTCAAACTATTCATCCTGAACTGAAAGTTTCTTTATAATAGCCAGCTCCTAAACCATCTGTTCGGTGGGATTTAATAGCCTTTATTTAATAAAAACTTTAATAGAATAAGGAATGGCATTTGCTGTTCTTTGGTCTTGCAGAACTCTGCCCTTTAACTCGCTGCAGATGAGAGAGTTTTGTCTGGTTTCAGGTTAAAAGAGCATTAGGTTAAGTTTTCTGTCCACAGGCTTCCCTGAGGCAAAAAAAAAAAAAAAAAAGTGAATAGCTTCGTGCCTGAATTGGTGTGTTTTTCCTTTATTTTTTTGCAAGCCTGCTTTAGTCCATAGCTTTTATTAATTATAGAAAACACTTTTCTTTTATTCAGCCCATTGGTTGAGGGAAGATTGTATTTTTCATAATCTCCAATACAGTTTGCCTTTCCCTGTGGTGCAGGAAAGGCAGAATAATGGCCAAGAATGCTGAAGGATTTTCATGCCCTCTGGTGGCTCTTCCTCCTCTTCTTCCTCTTCCTCCTCTTCTTCCTCTTTGTCCTCCTCCCATTTTCAGTTGTTCCTAACCCTGAAACAGACCCAAGTCCCCTTCCTGTTCTTCTTTGGCAAGTGCTAACATTATGTGACCAAATCACAGAAGGCAAATAATTAGTGGAATTAGAAAAAAAAAAAAAAAAAGAAAAAAAAAGATGATGATTTTTCACTCTGTCCTTGTAAGCCTGGCGCCCAGGAACAATAACCTCATTCTGGAGTGAGTCTTGAAGAGCTGGCTAGCTGAAATGTAGGAGAGGTTCTTGAAAGGACAGCTGAGAGGAAGGAGGCACAAAGCAGAATTTCACTTTTCTTGGTCCCTGTCTAGAAGCCCTAGGACAGAGGTTCCCAAGCAGTAAGCTGCAGAGGGAGGACTGTCGAAAGTTGGTGATGGTCTGGAAATGTTCTACCTGTAGTGAAAATGGACCCTAAGCTCTTGCAGCAAAAAGAGTCAGTGGTACAGTTTTCTACTTTACAAAGCTGACTTTCTTCTTCCCTGCCTCCTCTAGCCCCACCACAAACTATTAATCCTTTTCTTCCATATGTAGTGAATACTATTTTTTGCCTCACTTTCTGCTTGCTAGATTTCTTTGTACTCCAAGGACAGTATTAGAGCTGAAAATGTGATTATTCCACTAGACGCCAGTGAACACCTCTCTTATTCAGATAAAATACCATGACTAGTAGCCTTATTTTTCTTATCAGGAAGGTTTGAAGGGTATGTTGGCCAGGACTCAAGTAATGGTATTTTTTTTTCAGGGTGTTTTCTGTGCAGACTTTTTTTCTGTGTGATACACAGTAATCTCTCTACCACCCGAGAATATGAAGACCTTTGTTTTTGTCTGCTCAGCCATAACTGCGTTTATCAAGCTGGTCTGTTCTGACATTAATCTGTAATTACCATTTTGATTTTTGGTATGAATTGAGATGGCCAATTTGAATGCAAGGACTCTGCTGTGATGAAGTGAAAAATTACTTTCTCTGAAGAACTTTTTTGCAGCTTTATCCGGATGGTTGTAGTATGGGAATTGTGCAAGTCCGTGTCCGAGAACTGGTACCTTGTATGTTTGTGTGGGTTTTAAACTTAGCTGGTAAGACAGCTGTCATGAAGGATTTGATTGTTCCTTATTTTGGAATGGAAATACTGCTATCGGTCTTAATGGCTGTAGGAGGTGGCTATAGCGAAGACTAAAAGTCTCTTTGTAAATCAACACGTGCTGAAATTTTCAAGCAGGCCTTTAATGTAGTCAAACTGAATTCACTGGTTCCTGTGTAGTGATTGTTGTGGCAGTTCATATCAGCCAGAGATCTGTCCCTAAACACCATAATGCTGGTTGGTGTTGGGCAGAGTAGGTCTTGGGAACACATGAATAAAAGGCCAATAAATCATCTGAAGTTGATTCCAAGGTCCTATTCCAAGATGTAATGAAGCCTTACTGCTTATCTTTTCTTTCCCTGAAGTACAAGTCAGATGCTTTTAATTAAGGCAGATTCTTTAACTTGCCAACCCCTGTAAAACTATGTTTTAGAAATCAGTAAACGCCAATAAAGAGATGTTTGTTATTTTTCTTCCTACCATTTGTTTGGGGGTTTTGGGGGGCAGTATTCTTTTTTTTAAAATCTGGATTAAATGGCACATGTGTAGTTCAGTGTATGCAGTTCAGTATGTAGACGAACATGGTCATACTGGGTCATTTAGCCCAATCATTTGTGGAGTTCCTGGTTAATACTAGATGTCTGAGAAATAATATAAGAACAGGCGAGGCAGATAGATGATGATTTTGCTTCAAAATATTCTTAGTCCCCAGCAATTTGTGACTAAGACTTCTAGAGCTAGAGGTGTTACCTTGAATTTAATAACTTTTTGTTGATTTTTCTGTCGTGAGTTTATGTAGTTGTTCTTGAATTGAAGGTTGCAATGCCCTACTGCAAAGTGTTCCACACTTTAACTACATGTTGTAGGAAGAAATACTTGTTTTGAACATAGTAGCAACTGAATTTATTTGCAGCCCCTTAGTTCTTGTACTGGAAGAGAAGGGAACAATTGTTCTCTATTCACTATTGTTTGTAAGCTGATGTAAAACATAAAGGAGGAGAGAAATAAGAAGAATCTTTCTGGATTTTTTTGGGGGGAAAGGGAGGTTGGGGATTTTTTTTGGCTGAAATGCTTTTGGCCCAAACAATAAAAAGTAAAGTTGGTAAACTGTATCTGTCTAAAACTTTACGGATTTGGAACAGTGAAAAGTATGCAGCACTCTGTGGTCCTATACAGACTTTTAAAAAGTCAGCTTTACGGATGTTTAACTGGTAGTGAGAAGAGGAAAGGATGTAAAATTTGACATCATAGAAATTCAGTATTGCAATTACTTTAACAATGGCTTAATTATAACTGAAATTCATATAAATTGATTGAGTTCTGGTATATTTTTTTTTTAACCTGATTTATACTAGGTTTTCTGTTTGTTCATAGTAGGTTTGGGCTGGAATTTGGGCAAGATTAACCAAAGAGAAAAAACCCAGCTTGAGTAAATGAATGTATAATGTATAATGAATACTCCTGTCTACTCCATCTGTGTGTTTAATTGCTTCACATTAGGGTTACTTAACATTTTTTAATTTCCTATTCTTTGTAGGATGGGATGAATATGTGCATGTTTATGCAAAACACCTTAACCAGACTTATGAGGTAATATATTTTATTTACCCTTCTTTATGAAGTAATTATAAGGATTGGAATATGTTATGGCTAACTCTTTAACAAGATGTTTAAAGTTAAATATGTAGTTTTAAGTATGTAATTTTGAATCCCAGACCTTGTACTCACACATGTTAATCGGGTAGGTATTTCTAGATTTAAATTAGGTCTTGACATTTTGCAACTATTAGACTTCCCAGAGACTGGAACAGAAGAAAACCCTATAGGCTTATATGTGGAGGGCCAGGAGATACCTAGAGTTAAGGAAATCTAGGCATTCAAAGTTTCTGAAGCTGGCATCTGTAACTCAGTAGAAATCAGTAGCTCTTAAAAAACAAGCAGGGCCAGCTTATGCAGCCCACGCAGGTAACATTTATTTAATATATTTATTTAATCTTCCCACTTCATAAGAGGAATGTATTCAGTTCTACCATCTGGTACTTCTAAAAACCATTTTTTCCTTTCCTTTAGATTTAGCTTGCCTTAAGAAATCACATTTCTATTAAATCCATGTGTGGTAGTGTCTATCTTTTTTCTGCTCAGAGCTCTTTGAAGATAAATATTCTTTGTTTTCAGATAATCTATATAAGAAAGTGTTATGAGTTAACATTATTCTTTAAAACTGCCAAGGAGATTGAAGACATAGTAGTCTGTAAGGAATCCTCAGGATCAGAATCCATTTGTGTAAGTTGGGCTCTGTATAATTAAAATTGAAAGGGCAAAGCAAAGAGGAGGAAGATGTATGAAGATTAAGCCCTCACCTCAGGTGTCTTGACTTAGAGTATGGTGAAGCTATAGTTCAGAGGGAGCACTGAACTGCTGTCTGGGAACATCTATCGTAGATGGGATCAATCTCCCTGAGAGGGAGCTGAGGCTGACTGTGATCCTGAAGGAGGCGCCTCAGATGGATCAGTGTGGATGTAGCGGACTTGGACCCATATCTTGTGGGTCCCCATAAACCACAGGAAAAAATAGGTTAACCCTCTTCTAGTGGGTTCACTTAGGTCTTGTATTGTATGAAGTGTGCTGCAGCTGTAAGTGCACTTGCGCCCTAAGAAGTCATTAGTGCTTCTGTTGAAGTAAAACCAAACACGTGGTCGTGATAGGGGAGCTGACTTCTGAACGTAGCTTCAAAACTGCTCAATGAGTTAAACATCTCTTTGTAGTATAAGACAAAACAGCTGTATCAGCATGCAAAGTCTCAGACTAACCAGTTGGCTTCATTTCTTAAGGAACTTGGCTTATCCTAAGTCAGTCACTGTTCATTAGTATCTATTTCACAATGGCAGTGGGGAAGGAGGTTCTTACATACTCTTCCTTCCCTCTGTCCTTTGAATTACCTTGAACAAGATTAAATACCTTGAACATCATTAACTACAACACCATCAAAGGTAACAGATTGTTGCTATCCTTGAAGAATGGTTTTGTCCTCCAAAAAAAGGTTTTGTTGATGACTGAGATGATATTGCTGAAGGTATCATGCTGAATCTCATTGGTTTTAGGTAACCCAGCCATGTAGTTCTTCATGTCCCTTTCTTGCTGCTTTCTAGAGTGTACTGCCTTAGTGTAGGGTCTTGTGTCCCTGTCCTGTCACTCCTTCTTGCAGGTGATCTTTCTAGGTATAATCTGTAGCATGTACATAGTACATGATCATATTTACTTTGATTCCATTTGATATCTATCTTGCTGTTTCATTTTAGCTTAAGTGGAATTGGTGTTGTGCTACTTACCCGCAAAGATGTACTTGTTCGAATGAGTTGGAACAGTATATTTTTCTGATCTTTTACTATAGAGATGGTTTGCTTGAATTCTTTTGTAATTTCTAGAAGACTAAAAGAATTAATTTTGGTTACAAAACTCTCTTGTGTAGATTGCCTTTGATCAGTGTTGCACTAATCCAAGGAAAAGCTATTGGAGGAGGAGCAGAACTTACCACAGCATGTGATTTCAGGTAAGATCAACAATTTGAGTAGCTGTCATGTTGGGTCAGTGATTTAATCACTGAACCTATGAAATGTGGGAAGCCTGAGGTACCACTTTACCAGGAGTCAGGTCCCTGAATTCCAAGGCACTTGGAACTGGGCTTTGTCATCAGACTTGACAGGGAAAAAAGTTTGGGTTTCCTGATAGTACAGAGGAAAGATTATTTACTGTCAGATTGTACAGTTTGAATCACTGTGTAAAACAACAGCAGTAAGGAGCTTAAGCAACTGACTGTGTCATAGATTAAGAGGGTCCAACTTCTTAGCCCTGAGTGAGAGGTAGGAGGACTGCTAAACTGTGTATCTTCTTAGGCCTCTTTATGTGGCTGTCGTAAGTAAAAATAAATAAATAAAACTCTCCATTAGTCTGGTACTTTGTGTTCTGGATTTATTATTTGTAACATAACTCTGTGCTGTACAGTTTTTGAAACAAGATTTTGAGATGCAGAGGAAAGCAGATGAGGTTCTGTCCCTGTTTTTTTTCCATGCAGGTGCAGGGATTTGCCAGCATGGAACAGCTAGGAAAAAACAGACGACTTTAATTAAAGAGTCTGAATGCAGAACAGGAACTGGGAGAAACTAAAATAATAAAATGTCACTTTATTTAAACAGTTGCTAATGTGCAAACAGCCTACAGATGTAACAGAATAAGCATTGTGCACAGCCTCTCTGAAAATGAGCTTTTAGTGAAATTTTTATCTAAGAGAAGGAAATGTGCTCCTTCAGAGGGCCTCAGCTCCTGAAGTGGGAAAGGAATTGTCCGGAACAAGCTGAAAGTACTTATATTCAAAAGTAATACTAAGCAAAGTAAGCTAGAGTGTTACACTGTTGTTCATGTATCAGGAACAGGCTTTGGATAGAGGAGATGGTATCAGCATTGTCTAAGCCACTTAGAAGCAATCTTCCCTTGCTTTGAAACTAGATGCAGACGGATCTTTCTTCATAGCTGCGCAGCAGCCGATGAACTGGAACCTCAGCTCTGACTATGGCATCTGAGTACAGGCTGTGTTATAAATGCAGAGAGGTAGCGTGTTTGACAGCAGCAGCGCCAACTGGAGAATGCACCTGGGGAGGCTTAGTAGACCTTTCTGTATCTGTGAGTCCAGTGACGGGAAGTGAGTCCTGTTATACCTAAATAGGAGTTTAGGGAATGAGAACATAATGAAATGGAAATCTTTTGGCTTTCTAAAATATGTACTCTCTACTTTTACTCCAGCTATGTTGTTTGACATACTGTGTAATTATAGTCATTGTCAAGTAGCTTTTATTTGCATGAATTGAGCAGCTGCGATTCCTCTGATGTGCTGCCATAATTTTCATAATAACTACATCTGTTGATCCATCTTCCATTACTTTCTAACACACCCATCCAGTGCAACTAAATCATAGCAATTCAGGAGCAGGAAATGGGACTTAATTAATAACAACAACAAGATAGAGAAACATATTCTGTGCTGCTATTGCTCCTAAATTTGACAATTTTAATACTGGGGGACAAAATCCATTGTTTTGGTTTTTTTTTTAAGGACTATGAGTAGATGTTAGTGGAACAGGTATTCTGTCCAGAGCCACTAGATGCCAAAAGAGGAACCTGGGAACAGAAATCAGAAAGGCTTGTTTGCTTCCTTGAATAAACTGTTTGGACATTTTATTTTATTTTATTTTATTTTATTTTATTTTATTTTTTAAGAACAAAATGAGTGAGTTGTGGCTGCGTTTAATTCTAAATTTTCAAATCCACTTCTGTTTTTCACAGTTACCCTGTAAACTACCAAACTGCTTGGTATTAGCCTGAAATATTTTCTTATTTTTATCTCTGCCAGGTTGTACTACACTAACCAAAATGGCTTATGTACCTTCTCTGAAATGTGCTCTGGCAGTATGATGTACATCTCTGCTAAAGTAGAGGTGTGAACAAAACCATTTTTAAAATAGCTGAAGTAGTTTAAGATGTTACTGATGTATTCTTCCAGTGGCAGTTCTTGTGGCTAATTGTCTTTTGGTCTGTTTTAAGCCAGCTCATTTAAAATTGGATTATGGACCTTTTGAAAGGTCCTGGAGGACAGGTGAGGTGCCTGAGGACTGGAGGATAGCCAATGTCACTCCAGTCTTCAAAAAGGGCAGGAAGGATGACCCGGGAAACTACAGGCTCTTCAGCCTCACCTCCATCCCTGGAAAGATGATGGAGCAGCTTGTTCTGGGAGTCATCTCAAAGCACCTGGATGAAAAGAAGATTATCAGAAGTAGTCAACATGGATTCACCAAGGGGAAGTCATGTCTGACTAATCTGATAGCCTTCTATGACAAAGTAACTAGATGGGTGGATGAGGGGAGGGCAGTGGATGTTGTCTACCTTGACTTTGGCAAGGCTTTCGACACTGTCTCCCACATCATCCTCACAGGAAAGCTTAGGAAGTGTGGCTTAGATGAATGGACAGTGAGGTGGATTGAGAACTGGCTTACAGATAAAGCTCAGAGGGTTGTGGTTAGTGGTGCAGAGTCTAGTTGGAGGTTAGTAACAAGTGGTGTCCCTCAGGGGTCAGTACTGGGCCCAGTTTTGTTCAACATATTCATCAATGATCTGGATGAAGGGATAGAGTGTACCATCAGCAAGTTTGCTGATGACACAAAACTGGGAGGAGTGGCTGACACGCCAGAAGGCTGTGCTGCCTTACAGCGTGACCTCGCCAGGCTGGAGAGTTGGGCAGAAAGAAACCTTATGAAGTTCAACAAGGGTAAGTGTAGGGTACTGCACCTGGGGAGGAATAACCCCATGCACCAGTACAGGTTGGGGGCTGACCTCTTGGAGAGCAGCTCTGTGGAGAGGGACCTGGGAGTCCTGGTGGACAACAGGATGACCATGAGCCAGCAATGTGCCCTGGCGGCCAAGAAGGCGAATGGCATCCTGGGGTGCATCAAGAAGAGTGTGGCCAGCAGGTCGAGGGAGGTCATCCTCCCCCTCTACTCTGCCCTGGTGAGACCGCATCTGGAGTACTGTGTCCAGTTCTGGGCTCCCCAGTTCAAGAAAGACAGGGAACTGCTTGAGAGGGTCCAGCAAAGGGCAACAAAGATGATTAGGGGACTGGAGCACCTTTCTTATGAGGAAAGGCTGAGGGACTTGGGTCTCTTTAGTCTAGAGAAAAGAAGATTGAGGGGGGATCTTATTAATACATACAAATACTTAATGGGAGGATGCCAGGGGGATGGGAGCAGTCTTTTTTCAGTGGCGCCCAGTGATAGGACGAGGGGTAATGGGCATAAACTTGAACATAGGAAGTTCCATCTTAACATGAGAAGGAACTTCTTTACTTTGAGGGTAGTGGAGCACTGGAACAGGCTGCCCAGAGAGGTGGTGGAGTCTCCCACTCTGGAGACATTCAGAACCCACCTGGACGCTGTCCTGTGCAACGTGCTGTAGGTGACCCTGCTCTGGCAGGGGGGTTGGACTAGATGATCTCCAGAGGTCCCTTCCAACCCTAACCATTCTGTGATTCTGTGATTCCCCCTTACCTCCTTTTTTCTCTCTAATGCTACAGCAGTCAAAATAGAGGTGTGTCATTGCCTTGTGAATCCAATTTAAAAGGTGGTGTCTCCAGGCAGAGGATGAGAGTGCAAAGACGGCAAGCTACCCGTTTCCCTTACCATTGACCTCAAAATGGGTTCATAGGTAGAGGCAGCAGTATTCTTTTCTTTTTTTAGAAGATAAATTAATCAACTTTTTTTTTTTCAGCTGGAGTTGATGTTGCACAGTTAAATCACAAAGGGCCAGTTTCATTACTCTTGCTAGTGCCGCGCAGTATCCTACTTCATAAAAAGCACCATTGATTTAAAGAGGTATTTGCTTTCTGAGCAGACTTCTGCCCTGTATCTGTAGGAATGGCAGAATCAAGCTTTTATCAAGGAAAGAAGCTTATGCTAACAATACTGCATATATCAAATTGGCCTTGCTGCAATTTAATTGGATTTTTTCTACATTTTTGTGAAATATGTAGGCATACTTAGTATTACATTTCAAGGTGTTAGGCATGTTCTGTAAAACGCGTAATAAGAGATATAATGAAATGCACTGCTTTTGAATAGCTTTTGTTGTGTGTGTTCTTGTGATGACTTGTGCTTATTTACTTTAACAACATGTGTTTAGTGCATTAAGTATAATTTATACAAAATAAAAGGAGCAGAAGATAATAAAACCACTACATAGATGTAGGCCCATTATGACCGACTTTTCAATTGTTGCTCCTTTAAAAAAGAGGGGGGAGCAGCTGTAAAGACATTAGTATTTTACAGTAAGCTTTCCCAAAAATAGGTTTCAGAATGTCAGAGCACAACACACTAGCTTCTTTGGAAATATTTTGCTGTATGCAAGGATTTTGGCTTTTTATCAGGAGGAGTTTTTAGGTACACAAGATGCTGCTGTTTGAAATAAGGGTTCCTCAGTACACAGTGGCTCTTTTCACTGGGCAGAGCATGATATGACTATAACGGGATGAGTTTCGCATATTCATGAGTTCTTGCAAAGTCCAGGCTGACAAAGCACTTTTCATTAGATGTGACTGTAGCGTTGCTGCACATCATCAGGAGAAGAAAGAGTAGCCAAATCTGAGAGCGAGTTCTCACAGCTTCAGGTGCTTGCTATATGCCATAGATCATTTTTTTAACTATATAAAATTTTCCTTTCTAATACGTATATATGTATGTGTGTGTGTGTGTGTGTGTATAAATATGTGTAAAACCTCCTTAAAATCAGTTGGCAATTTTAGAATTCCATTGCAGTCATGCATCACTTCACATTTTTAGAGACCTGGGAGGTTTTTTAGTACAATTTTAGTACAATTTTCTGACAAATTTTCTGAGAGATGGATTATGGTTTTAAAAGTTTCACATTGCCTGCCTTTAAGAAGGCTGTTCTTATTTTTGACCTGGCACACTTGATGACTGGTTAAGTAATTGCAGCACTGCTAGAAATGGA